CTACTACAGAGCCGGTCGGTTTGCAGCCGAGAAGGTACTTAGTTCCTCAGAGGATGCGGTTTATATGCGGTTACTCCATATTAGGGTGTTCAAAACAGAATGCAGACTTATAAGAGGCTTCTTTGCAGCAACTGTGAGCTCTCTACCTGCCCACACGGTGGGGATGGGCGGCGTAGGACTCTGACATAATGCTCTCAGATGATGCTGTGTTTGGTTACAGTCATGCTGTTTAAGGGAGAAGAAGGAACAAAGGCCCAGACAAACATTTATGTGCAGTTACTCAAAATTAGTTGTGAGAGCGTTATGTCAGCTCATGTATGAAAGTTTTCTTAAGGTGTCCTCTGAAGCATCTGCTATTAGCTGCTGCCTCAAGGCAGGAAGATGCCCCTGACACATGCAGTCACAGGTTTGGTCTTGTACAGCAGCATCTGTTTCCACCCCCCATCTGCCAGAGATAAAGTATGCCTTTACACATTTTTTTAATTGAAAAGGTATGAGCATATCTGGAATTGATTTCTTTCTCTTTTGCATGCACTGTTTACCTGAGAACATGCTTCTATCCAACATGGAAACTGGTACTTTGAACCAAGTATGGCCCCCACCTCACTCTTCCCTTCAGCGTAACTTCATTCTGCTAAGAGATCCGAGCTCTGCCGAAAACAAGAGGTTCTCGCTACCTGGGCACATGCAAAACATTGGCATTGAAATGAGCCTTGGTATGAAATCAGCTGTTACCCAAGTTTAGCACCTCGCAACTTATGCTCACGAGGAAATACTATCAGTATTTTTCAGGCAACTCTTTCCAGAGCCCGGTGAGAATCAGAACAAAGGAGCTCTCTTACTCCTCCACACCTTCCTGGACAGCACTGAAGCCCCTGTTTGCCTTAGGATGGCATTTTTAAGCATGAGTTTATCTGATGCTTTATCCGCTTCTTTGCTCTCCCCACCTGCATTTTACAGTTCTATCTGTGCCTGCTTGATTGTATCAGCATAAAGATACTGATGTCTGCAGGATGCAGCTTTACATGCGTTACTAGCATCGCTAATGTTGAGATCACTGATACTGTTGAAGTCACGAGGATTTTTTTAGAATAAGATCATTGTTACACTTCTTGGCTCTGCAAGGCCGTAACCAGTACATCGTATATTGACACAAAATAAGATTAAAAAGCCCCAGCACATACACAACAGCAGCAGCCACAGCTCTCTTGGCAGAGCTGCACTGCACCTCAAATGCAGCCAGTAGGTTAGAAAACACAGCATTGACTGGCTGCTGCTCAGGTGAGCCAAATACTCCGGCAGATGCAGATCCCGAACGCCAAGGACCAAGCAGGTCAGAAATCTGGACAGCAAGCGCTTAGATTGCCAGCAGCACTACCAAGGAGAACAATACATGGTTTTCTTAAAAAACAAAATATAGATAGATACCAGATATGGAATACAAGCAGCATTTATTTTTCCAGTCAGAACTGGACATTTTGAGCTGGTGCAAGCCAGTAACTTGTCAGGGTACTGTTCTTCTTTCCTCCGTGTAACAGCCTGCATCTATGGCCAGAAATACACAATTGCTGCTCTGCTAACTTTATAAGCAATTGTCCCTTCTTTTCCTCCCACCCCATCCTATCCTTTGCTTTACTTATCCTTCCCCTAATTTAAGGTAGCCCTTCCCCTCTGGCTTCACGCTGTGATACTGCCTATTGCTGTTTGAAGGCAAGTCGCCTTTCAGCAAGTCTTTTCTCCGCAAACCCACACAACTGCCAGCAACGCTAAATTAAAAGCTGCGTAGTCCAGCAGAAGTAACAGAGGAAAGTTTTCCAATGAATTTCTGTGTCTCAGTTGATTTACTTTTTAGCTGTAACACAAGCACAGGTCATTACTTAAAGACTCTAACAGGGATCTCACTGCAAAAGAAGCTTCACAGTGAAGTTTGCTCTTCAGGCAACAGAAACCAGTGTTCAGTGGAAGATTTCTCCTATTAGGAATTGAAAGAATCTATATCTGATATCTTTTCCAGCTCTGGGGTCACCCATTGTAGCTTTCCATGCCTTAAGCTCATACTGCAGGATTCTATTAACATGGTTTCTCCCTGCTTCTATAAAACTTTGTAAAAATTTGGTATTTTAGAGCTCTGTCAAATTGTGCTGAAATTTGTTGCCAATTTCATGTTAACAGTGATGAAGCATGTGCTCTGCCCTGTTTCTAAATGAAATCAGACTACTACTTGCCTTATAACTGTATTGACAAACTATGCCATAGCTGTTTACAAAATGGACCTGCATTTTCAGCAAGTTATCTGTCTTGGCTTTCTCTTAACTCTGTATGAAAAAGCCTTGCTAAGAAGCTGGCCTTCTGCATTTCAGCGCTTGCCGTCCTTGTCAGAATTCCTTGCACAAACTATGTTATACAATAGTGATGTGCACATTATATATGGTGTGTTGTCACAAATCCATAGGGAGTTTAATGTGTCAACAAAGAACATGGTCACTTAATATTTGCTTTTCAAGGCAAGATTGCCTTGAATCTCCTTGAAAAGCTTCAAAAATCTTCCATCCTAGGTAACTTGGAAGACAAGGACCTCAATACATGAAACTTTCAGATACTGCGAATAATCTGTTCTGCCTACACCTTGCATTTGGTTTGCCTTTGCTGAATTTGAACGTTGTATAACGTACGCAAGCGTTTTTAGTGTAAGGGTTAATACTTGCTTATTTGTTTCTATGGCAAACTCTGCAAAGCTGTTAAACAGGATCAAACTGGGAACAGGTCCTCACCAGAGTCCACAGGAACGATCCTGACTACAGGAAATGCAAATTCACACACTCCACACACCACTTCATGCCAGAAATTGCATATTACTACTAAAAAAAAAAAAAAAGCTCCTATATTAACCTGGCAACATATTTACTCTTCAGATGAATACTGACACACCCAATACTTACTGCAGCTGGAAGTGTTTATTGTAGCGCATTTACAACGTGTAAACATCCAGACAGAACATGTTTAGTGTCGTCCACCTTTGTGCACAGCATTTTACATTGTCACACGTACCAACGGGATTGTTGCTTACAAATACAAGTTATCTAAATATGCTATAGAAAATAAGGCATCTATTAAATGGTATCACAATCAACCAAGTATCTAAACTAAGTTGTCAGAACTGAACTTGGGTAAGATCTAATGTTTCAGACAGCCGCTGACAGTACCGGGTTATTAGGCTGGTAGGAAATACCCAGTTTCTAAAGCGTGGAGAGATAGGACTCTCAGAGACGTACGTGTTAAATACGTAACAGAAGTATTTAACTTAGTTTAGACTTCAACAGACTTGTGTACCAGATGAAGATTTCAAATAAAAAAATAGATATTTTGAAAGTGCTTTTGTCTGACTCTTCCTTTAAAAACCTAAGGTCAGCACACTGTGAAGCTGAAGACTGTAACTGATCCTACCCAGCGCTGGATATAGGAGAACATCTACATTTCTCCACTCAACTCACCCCTCGAACTTCAGCTGTGGCCTGGCATATCCCTGGCCTCTCCGAGAAGAGACTGCCACTTGCATTAAGTGGTACTTATGTTTGTAGAAACATTTCGTTTATGCTCTCAGCTGTATTTGAATGGCTTGTGCATCAGTTCACTGTAATGTCTCCAGAAACAAGTTACATCAAATTTCAGAGTTTTAGTTTATTTTTACTATGAGTGTAGACAAACAAAAAAATGCTGAGGGCTCTAGAGTGAGCTTTCATTCATTCAGTGCCGGGTCAGCCATAGCTAAATAATGCCTGCAGTACTGAGGGCTAGGTTGGTCTTCAAAGTTGCAGTTGTCCAGCACTATTTCTACTTATAGTTGAAAGGCACTGCATTTCTAGTCTACCCACGTAATCTAGCCAAGTCTCTGAACACAGCATTTTAATGCCCTTTGCATTCTAGCACAATTTAATTAATAAAAAACTAAACCCCCCAAACCCCCTGAACTAGCAGTGAGAGTGCCTAATCAGAAAGACTGTAAGTTTATCACAAGCTTCTGCCACAGGCTTACACCGTTTTTATAGAAAAGCAAACTCAGGCTTTAGGTAAAGGTTTTCCACCAGCTCTACTGTCCAGTTCTCGCAACGTGCGCTGCTTTAAAGCCTCCATGATACACTCCCACAATCCATTAAATACGTTCACTAGGACCTGTACAGGAGAGGGAGGAATTAGTTGTCAGGTGTATGCATCAAAATAATAGTTTCATTGTACAAGGAGCCTTAAAAATGCATCTGAATTATTTAATTACTGATTTGACATACACTGATAAGAAACTGCAATGAACCACGATGAAACATTTTGAACATATGAAAGAATTCAGAGAAGTCATGTGTGTCCTGTAGGCCCGTATGACTGTTTAAAGAGCAGAAGCCATAGAACTGATAACTCAGCATCCCCTTGAGATACTTACTTTTTCCAACAGACCATTTATTTCAAAGTAAAACCAGAAGGCTGCAGTACTGACCTAAAGGAGCAATGTCCAGCATTTGCAGGCAACTGCAAAGTCAGCTCCGGTCTAGCTTCTGGAGAAAAAAACCTCACTATTTCCAGTATGCAGCACTAACATGCATAGTATGAGGCACACATGTGGAGCAAGACATTTTGGACCAGGATAAAATCATTAAAGAGTAGGTAATGAGTTCAGGAAACAAGGCTCTGAAACCAGGCACTTAAATGCCTACAGCTCTGAGTCCAGGACACTGCTGGCTGCCCAATGCTCCTGAAGAGTGAGTTGCTTGAGAGTAATCAAATTTCCCTTTTTGAATGCTCTTCTAGGGTCCTGATCCCCGTTTCCACGTCAGTGGGAGAAGTATTACATCCCTACCCTGTCCCGCCTCACGCTGGGTTTCTTGCCTGCTTAAACTGAGAGGTGTGCGCAGAAAAGGAAATATTAACATTTCAGTGCCCTTTACCCAGGGGTAAGATGCTTCATCCCACACTTTCATTTCAAGAAAGGCGCTCGGTCGGAACAGCGTCTCTCTGCTCTGGGCTGTCTGACTGCAGGCTCTGTTCTCTCCCTGCTCCAAAATATGCCCCCTTCTCCTCCCCCTCAGAAATATATTTCTATGTGGCATGTAACAATATAGCACACCAGAAAAGCCCAATACCAAGGAGCTGCAAATGCCTTTGACCTTTCTAATCAAGCTGCAAATATTTTAAGGCTCCTCCACCAAGGGACCCTTCAGCAAGGAAGACTCAGAGCTGCTGCCAGCCAGGTTAAATATAAACCATGTAACCTGCAATCAGTATTCCTGAAGAAACAGAACTTCAAATAACTGAAGCATTAAGCTCTCCATAGTGGAAGTTAGGCAATCCTCTTCCGAGTGCTTTGATAATATTGTAAACTGCATGCTATCTTACAAACGTGGCAAGTTGATTTTCTCCCTAGGTTTCAGGCCTGCTGCCATTTAAGTTAGGACACCGTACTGCACAAGGCAGTATTAAAAAGATGACAGTGAATGAGTTCAGTAAGTCCTGACTATTGCAATAAGTACGGGAAGTGTTAATGCTTGTGCATTATACATATGGGGTTCCTCAGTTACTGTATATATATTATCTAACTTGCTGTACTATTTTTCATATGTTAAGTAATTCTTAATTTAAAAGTTCCCTCACCTCTCCTAAGGAGTTTGTTGGCTGCAGACATTTCACTGAAGTGCTCCATTCTAGAGCATTAGAAATAGTCTGGGATTTTTGTGGGTTTTTTTCCCCCCCTCCACTCCCCCAAATTGAAGTACTCTTCATGAACATTATACCAGGGACAATTTGTAGTGTGCTGCTTTTGCATACACATTAATGTATAATTTTAACATAGGTACGTACCATTACAACAGCAGAAGAGAGATACAGGACTCTCCTCGTCTAACCTGTACCTGCCCGAGTTTGGTAAGTCTTTGCACTGTGATATAAATCTCTGAAGTTCTGTCTCCGGAAAGCCATCTTGCTGGTAGTGCTAAAAATTGATATTTAGTTAAACCTTTAGCAGAGCAAAACCACACAGTAACCCAAATCCTCCCCAGACCACTTTTCAGACATTGCTTAAGCCTGAATTTAGAAGATTCAGAAAACTGAATATGCAATTACTGCTTTTTAGTAGATATTTAGCTACCATTGGGGCAGGAAATCAGATAGGCTTGTAGGAAAACTGAAGTAGGGAAGGACTAAAAACCTCTTGTCATCACTCTGCAGCCTCAAAAGTAACCATTATATTTATTCTTTAAATTGGCATGCGCTGCAAGTCAAAATATTGAGGGAGATGAGAGTTTTGATAGCGCCAGTCGTGCATTCTTATTCCAAACGAAGAGTAAAGGCTCATGCTTACCTTGACAGTTTCATACGTATCTGTAATGAGTGCAATGAAGAGACTCAGCACCATATAGATGAACAGACTGATGAAGGAGTAGAGGTAGATCCTACTGAATAACCAAACCAAGTAACTTTTCTGCTGCATTTTTGCAAAGGTGGCAAACATGTCATCTCCATTGATCAGTGAAAAAAGACATTCGGAAACCATGTTCAGAGAGCGAAACTAGAGAGGAGGGAAGAAAAGAACATCCATCACCGCTTCATAGAATCATAGAATCTTTAAGGTTGGAAAAGACCTCTAGGATCATCAAGTCCAACCGTCAACCCAACACTACCATGTCTACACACTTTTTGAACACCTCCAGAGACGAACACTTTGTTTGGATCCAGAGAGATGATACACAGCTGTTCACTGGCTGCCTTGGATCTCTTTGTATGCCCAGGGTATGACAAGGTGCAAACAGTAAAACATTTGAGGAATGAGCAAAGTCTGTCACCTCCTGTACACGTACACATTCGATTCATTCACCTGCAAACTCCTGCTGGGGCAAAGAAGCCAATTTAACTTTTAAAAGGGATAAGGATAAAGTCTCCAAAGCTTTAATCTGACACCAGTGTTCTGCAAGATGAAAATTATTTCTCAAAATACCAGCATATGATTGCGAGTCACAGCAGCTTCTACTTCTGACTCACAGCTTTCATAACTCGAGGAAAGTCTGACTGAGTCATGGAAGTCAGACTCCTCCAACAGAGCAGCATCATGTTGAAGATGCACTATTTTTATATTAAGGGAAGCCTTGACATGGAAACTTAGAAGACACCAGTAGTAATCTCTTATTCGTTTGGAATCCATTCTGTTATTCAAGTTGTCTTTTTTCCTGTCAAGTATATTACCTTCACATGGTATGGTCCCAGTACAATCCAGCCACAGAAACAGTAGCCCAGGTAGATCATAGCAGCGCAACAGCAGAACCTCATTACATTGGGTAATGCTGCTCGCAGCGTTAGGATGAGAAGCTGCACAAAGCAATGCAAACAGTTAGAATTCAACCAGGCATTTCTTCCAGTCCTCTTATAGCAACAAACAGAATAAATACCAACAGCATGAAGATCTCAGGAGATCCTTACATTATACTTCCGAAAGAAGCCTAGGTAGCGAATGACTCCAAGCCACACAAGCATGGTGGATGTTCCTAGGAGTATGCTACAGACATCGTAACTTGTCAGACTCTGAAAAAAAAAAAGAAGAAAAAAAAAAAGAAAGAAAAAAAATCAAGTATTATATAACTGACGGGTTCTAAATTGCAACTCTCATTACTACAAAGATCTGTTAAGAAACATTGTTTTCCTTGGCAATCTCTCCCATTAAAAATTAGCTTGGGGCAATACACATTAGAGAACAGAAGTCCCACCACAGAGCAAGGGCACTTTCAAGTGTAACTCAGTTCCCATGCCTTTACGTACGGCTGTTTGTAAAATAGATCCTGACAACGAGCTTCATTTGCTTCATTTGCAAGGCCAAGAGCGCAGCTGCACTGCAGGTGCAGGGACATCCCCTCTGGACCTGGCTCACTAAGACCTCCAGAGCAGCATGGCAAACATTTTTACGCTGCTTCCAGACCCGTGGCAACTGCTTCTGGAATCCGTAGCAGCTGCATCGACAGATTCCGCAGAGCAGCTTGGGAATCTCTCCACCACATCCTGACGGACAGCGTAGCGGTGACTTTAGAACCGCAGGGCAAAGCGGGTTCTTCCAGTACATCAGCAAACCAGGTTTCAAAAAATAGCATGACTTGTCAGCAGAGCTCAGGTAAATACTAAGGAGGATCTTATTAGGTAGCAGGAAACTGTGAGGTGTAGACAGGTATCAAGGAGAACTGTAATTAGCATCTAATTAATTCTAACTGGAACTTCATTTATATTTTATTGGCACTTCACTGGGTTTTTTTCCATCTATACATACTGGGCTATTTTCATCCAAATTAGCATATACCCTGTTCCCTGAACTGCAGCTCTACTCTGAAACAGATCAGGACAGCTTACCTGAATAAGAAGTTTTCACTATTTTCTGGTTTTATTCCTCTAAAAGCTGGCTAATCTTGTATCTTAGTGTAATTAGTTTACAGGTTGACAAAAAACCCAAATTTAGGCTACTTTAACATGAACTTATTACAGATATTCAGCCATTAACTTTCACACAGTAACATGGAACAAGATCTTGTAATTATTGTCCACAAGACTTGCAAAATGAAGTGTATCTGTAGAGATGAGTTTTAGTAAAATACTCACTTAGAAAAGAAATATATATAAATAGATGTGTTTATATAGGTAAGATCCTGGAATCCCAAAGGCAAGATCTTACTTCAATCTTGTTCCCATCTTTGCTTCTCCCAAAGCAGGATAGAGTTCTCTCTTCTCTTAGCCAACTTCCTCATAGCTTCTCTCTACTCCTAAGAGCCCAGTTTACAATTCCTAAGGTAAGATAGGGCGATTTGTACAGGGCATTTATGATAGTCAAGCTGTCACCAGACAATTTCAGACCCATCCTTTCATCACTACTGTCCAAAGTCTGTTGTGTTGCAGTGTCACACTTCAAAGTCTGCTACATATTCAGTGAAGAACAACTTTATGTGAATATTAGAGTGCTTCAGGATAGCATATTGTAATAATTTTCGTTCCCTAATTCTGACTGCAGATAACACATTTCAAAAAGATTTTTTTTTCTATATCAAGTTTATTTTAAAAATTGAAAGTCCACAACCAGGCTGTGGCTGACTGTTATGTACATGCTGGAAACCAGAAGCTAGGAAAGCAGCAAAGTGATGTTTAAGGAGAGAGTCTCTATGCTAGTTAAACACTTATTAAATGGGGAACAGAAAGTTAAATGCTAATTTTAAAAAAAAAAAAAAAATCAAATAAGCAAATATAGGTGGTCCTAAATGGGGAAAAGAGGAAGTAAACAATCTTAAACTTTCAGAGATGAAGTTCATTTTATTCCTTAAAGTCACAAAGGAGCAAAGAAAATTAGAACTATAATATTTAGTTATATTGAGAGGTTTTAAATCTCACAACTGGAAACAACACTTCTCAATTATACTTCCAGAAGAGATGACAGAGTTTTAAAATTTCACGCCACTCAGAAGCAACCTAGCTGGGACAGAAACAATCAGTTTTGCTGCCACTTAACAGTGTAGTATCTTACCTTGGCTTGTATCTCCATCTTTAGCGTTGATCCAACAATAGTTAGGACATCGCTAACCATAATCAGGATGTACCATCCATTGACAAATTCCATTTGATCACTGAAAGCTACTTCTTTCTTATAATAATATAGGAAAAAGCTTACAAATTCCTAGGAGAAAGGAGGAAAGGAAAATGTTAATCAGACTTACACAAGACATGAAGACTTTCCAAAGAAAGAGTTATACCCACCCTTTGGAGCTGAATTCCTTTAACCACTGATCGTGTGCAAAGGATCAATGAGGCTAGACAAGTCAATATAACAAAAGCATCGAAGATCATCATGTAATGAGTATTCTTCTGTACTGCAAGAACAAAAATGTACATGTTGACAATCAGATGCATTTCATCTTGTTGACCACCTTGAGTATTGAAGTAAGAATCAAGTTTTGATGTTAAGTATGTTTGTACAACTGAATTAAGGAAAATCTTAGCATTTTCCCCACAAAAGCTTGTCTGACATATTTTCATGAGACACAAGTGCACCTGCATTGCACATACTACTTCAGTTAATTTAGGAAGGTTGACATCACATCAAAAATATACAGAACTTGCCTAAAAAATACCAAGAACTTTATTGTATGTAACTTTTCTTCCAAACCAGTATTTGGCTACCAGACAGGTTTTCTGTGCTAGAGCAGTGCAGATAATTTGCAGTGCTGCTCAGCCAAGACCAACATTGAGCTGGACAGGAGTTCTCCATCTCTTATGTTGCTAAAAATCATATTCTCGATCCACTAAGGTCAAATTTTGCACCAAATCTACCATTAGACACCTTTTTGTTTTTCATACCTATCATATGGCTGAAACCAGGTGATACAGTATAAGGATTAGATATTTAATTCTAAAAGACTGATTATGTTGGAGGAGGGGGTGGGAATGAAACAAATTAATGCTAAAGTTGCAAGAGACAGTTCTCCAAAATGGGATACTGAAGTTTTAGCTGACTTCACAAAGATACCTACAGCACTACCCAGAAAACCCCCACCTACTTCTTGCTTATACCAAAGTCACTAACGCAGGTATTGCTGCCATTCAAGTTGGTTTTGCAGTGTAGTCCAGAACAGCAACAACTTGTTATTGTCCAATTGCAATCATTGCCTTTGTATTTTTCCTCGGCTTTCAGAAAATAATACAGGGTGTTCCAGGAGATGATTTTGAAAACTGTTATAGAGGCAATCTACATAGATATCAAATATGGATTATTACAGAAGCCTGGTATCAAAACCTTCTTGTACTGCTGCACAAGCAATCTGTTAGAGGTCGCATGCCATCTGGCGTGCGTTTCAAACATAGCAGCTAGCAAAGCCAGTTGATAAAGAGTATTTAATGGAATCTGCATTTGCATAAGTGGTGTGTTTTGTATTCTGTGATGCATTTCATTAAATTCCCCCAAATTAATCCCAATCTTGATCTTTAAAAAAAAACCAAAAAACCTTCTGCTTTTTCACTACCAGCCAACAAAGGGTACTCTTGTTAGTAACTATTTAAGACAGATATTTAACCACACTGTGCATCTCAGTTATACCCAAATACAGGCCAAACAACACTTAAGCAGCAGTAAGAATTGTTTCTAGCCATTCCACTCTAGCAAGCCTTAGCAACAGTGCTTCCTTATCTGTCCTGGTGCTAAGTCCTGAAATAAGAGTGAATCAGTTTCAACTTTCCACCACTATCACATGTCCTTCTGTTGCCTGGTGCTAGAACAAGGGTTCACAGCCCTACCTTAAGCGATGAGCAGTGTAAGTTCAGTAGCCAAAGCTAGAAGGATGAACAATGAGTTGTGGACAAATTTGGGTTGGACAGTATCAATGATGCCAGGTTTGAGAACTGCTAAGGAAAGTAATGGTGTGGCTGGGTTCCCAGGATTTCAGACCAGAGGTGTAAGAACAATAATTCCTTAGAAAATCAGGATTTAGAGCACACCCACTAGAGAATACATGTCAATAGTGCCTCATCTTTTAATAAAGAAAAAGGTTAACAAACATTTTACTTGTGTGGGAAAAGTTTAGCATGAAAAATTGAACACATTTATGTTACTTACTTGATCCAGAAACATGCCAGTCTTTACACTCCCTGATCGCTATGTCGTTGTCTAGACTTATTTTAATTCTTCCACTATGTGCTTTATTATCAAACACTATCTGTATTAAAAAAAAAAACAAAACCAAAACTATTACATATGTAGCACCTGTATTGCTAAGCTTGCATAATGATTCAGAGTAATTCTTGTAGGGGAGACATTACAAAACTTGTTTAAGCTTATGGTAATTTCAGTTTATTCAAATAAATGCTGTCAAAGTAAAAGACAAATCTAGTGAACCACATATTTGCCACAAATTGCTTGATCAACTAGATTCTAGGTGAAATTCTTTTAAACTACAACATCATTCCTCCATGATCTGAAAACAGCCTTTCCTAGAAGCATTTCTCTAAAGAGAAGAGGTTTATGCTTTCCTTACACTTCAGATGGATTCAAGTACAAAAGGCTGTAGGCCACGCAAGTGCTTCCGGACCACATCACGAGCACTCAAAGCTTAACCTCCCACAGCCACAAATGGTGGTTATTTACAGGGTACGCTAAGCCATGACAGAGTAATCAGGACACCGTTGGGGACCAGTCAATGGTGCTCAAACACTCTTCAGAAAACATCTGCACTGACTGCGTATGGTAAACCAGCAGGAACGATTTCTCGTTTTGAACAGAAAGACATGTGGCAGGCTTCCATGTACCGTCAGAGTGAAATCGTAACAGTCAGGGAGCTCGTGGTGACGAACGGTCTGGAGGTTGATTGCCTTCAGATTGAACATGAGCTGCACCATCACCAGTCTGCAAAAGAGCTTTGTATTAGGTTGTCACAGGGAAAACGCACAAATACCCCAATACAGGAGGTGCCGATTCCTCCTCACCTGTGGAAATCCAGAGTGAAATTCAAGTTGTGCTTTCCCACTGTTGTGTTGTCTAACGGTGTCATTGGCTCAATGTACAAGCAGTCTGCAATGGATAAGTACTCACAACAATATCTCATGGGTTATCACGGTCTTTAACTGTAATCTGCCTTTCCCACTCACGAGGCCATAAAAAGCTGTTGACTATACCAGACAAGATAACACGCTTAAGTGAGGAGTCGTTTGGGAAGCTAGCTGACAAATATATTGGCTTCCCTGAACCCGCCAAGTTATTCATCATGAATTCATAGGGAAGGCTCCTGAAATTAGCCTGAAATACTTGCATTAGATGGCCATCGGTGCTAACGGCTCATCATTTGTTTTGTGGCAGTAGACATAAAGGACTGTTACCTTGGAGGTGAGGGCTAAAGGTTGGTTACACAATAGTTTTCTGACCAGTTTTGGTTGGAAGTAAGTTCAATACAGATCATGTGTTAGGACATTAGAGGACTTTGGGGTTTTTTAAGAATTAATCATAAATGTAGGGTCCCTCCTCCCAAAGAACTGACACAATAGATTAGGCTCATCACCAGTCACAATCTCCGGATCTATATCAAAGGTGTCATTTCCGGGACAGATGATTCCTCGCTTGTAGAAATGCTGACATACAGCCAGAGCTGTCTCTTCTGCTCCCCTCTTCTCATAAGCATGGTTTCCAACAGAGATGTTGGGCAGCTGTAAGTACTAAAGTTCAGAACAAACAGACAAAACAGCTTAGGTGGCACAAAAACTGTTAGTCTTGTGAAAAAAAGAAAGGGGGGGGGAAGCACAGAAGTGTTTGGATCTATGCCATAACCCATCTTTTTTATTTAAAAGGTCACCTAAAGAACTTGGAAACCTACACCACACTTGGAAACCTACACCACACTATTTGAGACCTCAAATACTTTAAGGTATTTGACAAAAAACAATAAGTGCAGGATTTGGTTCTGAATACCTTTTTGCTTTTTTTTTTTTTTTCTCTTTACGATCCTTACTAGAAAGCCTAATTCATTATTTGCAAAGCATTCTGGCTCAAGGACGGCATTTAGTGCAGAATTAGTATACTGATTAGTTTTAAGGATGTCACCACAAGTACAATGCTCTGGCAGTGATGGACAACCTGAATGAGTCAACATTCTAGTCTTTAGCAACTGGCACAGAAGTTCAATTCCAGGCACCATCAGGGAACGAGGAAGAAGAAAAGGCACCCAGGTAAAGAGCATATGTATCGTATATATTGCAGTGACAATCCTTACCTGGTTTATTGCAAAGAATATCTGGTCATAGACGTCTGTCTGTGTGTATACAGCATAGGTATCATCCATTCTGTCCATGTATCCTTTCAAGAAGAGATGTTTGAATGCAACAGTGTTCTCTTCTTTGAAGGCAACCACCATTTGATTGCTCAATCCAAACACCACCAGCTGAAAAAGACATTTATATTTCCTGTTCAAAGACAAAGTTGGCTTCTGGATTAACCTACAAATCCTGTCCTGCAAACAGCCACACTTCCATCATGCTGGTAGACACGGCACTTACATGCAGGCTGCTCCATTTCACAGCTGGTCAAAAGAAAGTTTGACTTTATGGAAACAATGGGTTTCAAGAACGTTCCTTTAACACATTTACCAGCATCTTGGCCAAGGACTCACATTTTTACAAAGAAAAGGATACCATCTCAAATTCAAGCTACCCATATACTGTTACACACGCTTTGTTAGTTCAGCCAGACATTAATATGACTTGCCTTGGGGAATATCAGTGTTCCTCAGCCAAAAAGACAGGACAGGACTTAACCAGACCCCACTTTGAAGTCCTTACTCCAGTGCAGAAAAGGCAAATTGAGGCCGGCTCAGAAAAACAAACATCCCTCCCTCACATTTCAGTGAAAGGTGCTTTGAGAATAACCGATCAAAACCGTGCTTGTAACAGGATAACCTCTGAAGCTGTTAAAAAAATATACTGCAACTGTTCACGAAAAGTTAGCATAAACCCCTGCTAGCTACCGTCCAGGCTGGAAAAAGTGCCTAGAAGAACGTGATGCATTGTTCGTGGGAGCTCGCAATTCTCTTCAGCAACTATTGTTTCAAATCCAGCGTCAGCAGTATCGTGAAGACACTCATCAGAGATAAGTCTGAATCAGTAGTCTACAGATTAGTTTTATGGCCACGATGCGAACTGGATATGTAGGATTTGATAAGGATAACTCAGTTACAGAGATACTAAAATGCTCTGTGGGCAAGCTCAGAGTGCTAGGCACACAGAAATACACCAGCAAACCAACAGTGCTAAGATTGAATTACCTACTGGCAGATTTTCTCTGAAAAGTCTAAATCAGTATTAGTTTCTTCCTTACTTATGTTCTTCCACCAACAGATTTTATTTCTAGTGGCAAAATGGCACAGATGACAATCAGAGGATAATGATATATTTAAAACTGAAGCAGCAAGGGCTGCAAACACACTGCCAGATGTATAGCAGAACTTTTATTTCTGCACTTTGTCCCATCATTCATGCAACCACAGAAAACACTCCTCTCTATACTTGTATTGTCATGGCAGTGACACAACCATAAAGGTAAAACACACGCAGGCAACTCTGAAGGATCATCATCTGAGGCTTTAGAAAGGTTTGAAAGCTTTTATGAAAGACCCTCTTCCTCCTTAACCACAGAACTTTGTTTGAGACAAACAATTGTGTCTTGGGCAGCAGATAAATGTGTCATATGAAATCTGTGGTGCAAGGCTGGGTGAGAGGAAGAGTGGGGCAGAATTTCTGGTTTTTTTCAATACAAGAGTTTGTATACCATATTCGAGGCACAAGCAAACATCATGAAAAAGCCACCAGTTTCAGTTCACATCGCTGTGATATTGAAACACAAGAGACTGACTGTTCCTTCCCTCGATCACAAACACGCTCAGAGTGAAGGTATTGGGGGTGAATAGATGTGTAAGGATGCCAGCCTTGGTGGGAAAAAAAAGGGGGAAAGAAAAAAATAAATTAAAAAGTATAAATAAATAAAAGTAAAAATAAATTTAAAAGTAAAAGCCCTTAAACATGGTTCCTTTCATTTCCAGTCTTAGGAAAGCTCTTTCAGTCAATAGTTTTAGGAGAAAATTATACCCTCTGAGATCTAAGCTACACATATGCAACTAAGATAGTTTTGCAGTCAATCGTCTCCCTGTCTCTGCACCACACGAAGAACAGCATTTGTCACCTGTACTCCTTATCTGAGTTCCCACAGGCTAAGAAGAGTCCCTGCTTCCATAGTTACTCACCTGAATAGTAACCATCGCTATTTTGAGTAGCTGAATCCCAAGTTTCCAAGGTTTCCTGCCCCGGGCCCAGAATTTCTCACATGGGTTCATGAAGAAGAATTTTAACTTCCTTCTAAGCTGGTCCTCCAAAAGCCGCTCCTGCGATACTGACAGGTGGTGTTTGTAGCTGCAAAGATTTTCATCATTGTGAGCACTGCAGCTGCTCACAGCCACCTCAGGATTTTCCATTTCTGAAATGAAAAGAGGTCCACGTCAGTTGGAAAACACGCAAGCATGAATACAGTAGCATCGGAGCAGTCTGCACTGACAACCTGGACTCCAAAGATGTTTATCTTCCATGAAAGGCACTCGCGCATGACACTGAATTTAAGACTTTCCTCATAATATTGCACGTGTTCTGCAGAACCCAAAGAAAAGTTTGGACAAGCTCTTAAATTTGCAGATAGGCTGTCAGGACATTTATTTAATAGTGGAATTTTGGTCCCTTTGGAATTACGGAGTCACTTGCTGAAAACCTCTTCCTCTCTCACTTCCCAACATCAACATCATGTATGCAAGACATCCTGACTCATTTCCTTCTGTGTCCATAGGAGTGCCAAAAGCCTCTCATCTGTGTTCACTCTTCTGGAAAACTTATCTACGGCTGTAGCGTGTATTTTCCCTTGCTGTCAGCCTGCTGCCCGGTCCTTGAAAGAAATGGAATTTTCTTAGACATTAGTATCAGCATCGTTCATTCTTGGAAGTGGAGACCCAGCGTGCCAAACTGCAATTCAGATGAATTACCTGAGCATATTACCTGTCATTTAGCAAGATTATATCTAATTCTACAGCTGTAAAAGACGGAATGCAAACCAATGGTGATCACGAAGCAGACAAAAAGACCAGGGGGTAATCGTATTCGAGCATCACGATTAACAGAAGAGACTCACATTGTAGATGGGCATGAGGGGAAGATTCGGAGAGAACCTTACAAACACAGTTTGAAACATTACTCTCTATTGTATTCAATGTGTTTAGCTGTTATTCTGTTACTAACTTTACTGACTCCCAAACATTTTACTAATGCCTTATAAAGTACTTAATAGGTAGCCAGGAACACTGGTTTCGGATAAAAGATTGTTGACTTTAAGAACAGAGGAGACAGCCTAGGTTGTGAATAAATTTAAAGATGTGCCACACTAAACAAATGGTTTTTAATTTGTGTAAGAAAGGTTTCTTATATAACTGAAACACGAGAATCACCACCGAGATTAATTTTCAAAAACGTGTCGATCACAGCCGCTCTCCTCG